AGTTGTCAAAAATCAAAATCTCTGCTGCACTCCATATTCTTTTGACCGGGAACTTTAACGAAAATCTTCTGATACTGTTCACTTTAACGAAAAACCACATTTTTACACTAAAAAGTCAATGATGGTACTATTCACTTTACCCTTTATTTTGTCCTTATCGTTAAAACTCAAAGTTTTCAAGTCATTTTTATTAATTTTCCTCATTTTTTATAGGCCACAATTTGTCTACCCCACCCACACTCGCAAAACAAAACAAAAAGAACGAAGAAAGAAAAATAAATATACAATAATTAAAATAATACCATCAATATTATGGAACACATTTGTGGCCACGTATACATGAAAGAGTAGTAGGCGTAAGCGTAACTAAGACAAGTTACTCCGCTAAGTGCTAACTCTATCCTTTCCTTCATTTCATTGCCTATAAATAATGGAGCTTCGGTGGTCACTTTAAAGCAGTATAGGAGAAAGACCAAAACTAGAAGATGGAGGAGCAAGGCAGCAGCCATGCTGCAAGGAAGAAGGGAGGCTTGGTCACAATGCCCTTCATTTTTGGTAAGAGCTAATAATATTTACTGTTTTCAAATTTCCGTTGGAGTTTAGTTTACAGCAGTATGCTCTTTTCTTTGCACCGTAGTTTGAATATTTTTCTATATTTAAATGAATTTAGTGTAGATTATCTTGCCGTTGTCAACTTCTTATTCTCTCTCTTTATTTATTTCGATTTTAATTAACTATGCTATTAATCAGTGGATTGTTATTGTTGGATTTGTGCGTGTGTAGCTAATGAGGTTTGTGAGAAGTTGGCTGTGGTGGGATTCCATGCAAACATGATAAGCTACTTGACAACGCAGCTTCATATGCCGTTAACAAAAGCAGCCAACACCCTTACCAGTATTGCTGGCACTGCAAGCTTGACCCCCTTGTTTGGCGCCTTTATTTCTCATGCCTACATTGGCCGCTTCTGGACTATCACCATTTCTTCCATCATATACCAGTTACTTCCATCATATACCAGATTGTAACTCTCTCTCTCTCTCTCTCTCTCTCTCTCTCTCTCTCTCTCTCTCTCTCTCTCTCTCTCTCTCTCTATATATATATATATAGCTATACATCATGCAGTAACTCAGTTGATTAATTAATATCATATTTACTCATGTAATTTAGTTGGTTAAGATAATATTTAAGTTTTATTTCTTAGTTATCAAACACCATAAGGACTTATAATTCATTGATTACTCGTGCATGTGCTTGAAGTAATTTCTCAAAAGTTCTTATCAACACCATGGAGTCTTTTTCGTGACTCGACTATAAGAAAAAGAACAAAGATCTATAATTTGTCACAAAGTTCAATAGTTAAAATTACTAAAAAGTATATCCAATATGATTGAGTTGAATTTTTTTAATGGGAGACTTTGGATGAGGTCACTAGCTATGAATATTCTTTGATTGAAATCTTGTTGGTTTTTAATTTTTGATCCAGGCCTCTGAAATCAATGTGATAATTTATTTTTATGTACGTTACTATATTTTTTAAATTAAAAATTAGAAATTTTAGTTGTTTATATAAATGACATTTTAAATAAAAAACCATAATTTGTGGGATTAAAAATTTTGAAATATAAATATACTATTGTGTGTGTTTATATATATATAAACATGGGTACATTGATCAAAATTAACCAAAAAAATTATTGTATCAAAACATGGGTACATTCTTCAAAATCACCAAAAAAAAAAGAGAAGATATTAGGTTTAATAACATTAGTAAATTTCTTCGATTAAACTTGACATGGATACATTTAAAAATCAAAGAAAAAAGAATGTACCCATATAAGTTTAAAAATGGATTAAAAAAAATTGAATAGATTTTATATTAAAAAAATCGTACATTCTACATATAACAAAATAAAAAGTTTTACATGAATAGGTACATATAATTAGCATGGGTACATTTAGCAAAAATAAAAAGTACAAATAAAAAAAAATATGGGTACAAATACAAATAAACTTTAAAAAATATGGGCACAAAAAGAATTTAATATATGGGTACAAATTAAAACTGAAAAGAAAATTGGTACAAATTAAAAAAGAATTACAAATTAAAAATGAGTACAAACTAAAACTAAAAATATACGATAAAAATTTTAGTCATAAATATAAATATATTAATTGTAACATTTTTTTATGAATATATTTAGAAATAAAAAAATATTTTATTATTGAAATAATTAATGATGCTATTAATACCAAGGATCTTGATCAAAAATTGAAAAAGAATAGGATTTTAATCAATGAAATAACAAAAAGAATGATAAAAACCTAATTTCTCCGTTTTTTAACTCATTGTCAAATCAATGAACCAGGGAATGATTTGCTTAACAGTATCAGCAGTACTTCCACAACTGAGACCTCCCCCATGCACCCACGACCAAGTTTGCGAAGAAGCCTACGGAGGGCAGCTAGCAATTCTGTATGTCTCCCTCTTGCTAGGAGCACTCGGGTCGGGCGGAATCCGACCTGCGTCGTGGCATTTGGGGCGGATCAGTTTGACGAGAATGACGAAAAACGAACCACCAAGACTTGGAACTACTTCAACTGGTACTATTTTGTGATGGGGGTATCAACATTAGTGGCTGTCACGGTGCTTGTGTATGTTCAAGACAACATTGGATGGGGCTGGGGACTTGGAATTACAACTATAGTCATGTTTCTCTCAGTTATTGCGTTTGTGATCGGGTACCCGCTTTACCGGAAATTGGATCCGGCCGGGAGACCGTTTACCCGGTTGATACAAGTGTCGGTGGCTGCCTACAAGAAGAGAAAGCTGTCCATGGTATCTGATCCTAGAATGTTGTATCAGAACGATGAACTTGACGGTCCTATTTCTATTGGTGGAAACCTTCTTCACACCAAGCATTTGAAGTAACTCTCTCTCTCTCTCTCTCTCTCTCTCCCTCTCTCTCAAAGTGTTGTGGTACTTTTTACCTGCTTTTTTAATTACTTGGCGAAATTGGCTTGTCCCCCTTCTTTTTTTGTTCCCCAAAAGATGTGGTGAAAGTGTTCACCCATCACCCCTTAATTTTATTAAAATAAAAATACAAACAAGGGAAACACATAGTCAAACCTCAACCAAGACCTCTAAAATTTTCTAATCATAAAATATCAACTAAATAATATATATATATAACACGTGTACATGGTATAACTGCCACACAAAAACTTTAAAAAATCATTATAATGAGGATGTTATAGGCTGTTGCCATCTTCACCATATGTCATAAAATAGGTGAAAGTGAAATCACATATATTTATCAGTTCTATTAAAAATATTAAACCTGTTTACCAAATACTAAGACAACATTATTTTTTAATTAACAAATAAAGCATTGACATATCATTTGATAAAGAAATTGATTTACTTTTACATTGCTGATTTGCTTTTTAGAATTAATTATTTTACTGTATTTTCATTTAGTTCTTTTTGGTCAATGTATCTTCAATTTAGTTAAACCAACAATAAAAACGTGGGAAGTAACATATGGGCTGGATTCAATTTTGGTTGATCTTAAAAGGGCCTTGAACCAAGCCCGTTTTAAAATTGGACCTGGCTTGAAGATTTAAAGCAACTACCAAGGCCCTAATGCCATCACCATCTAGAAGGTATAAACAATAAGAAGAAGAGATTGACTTTTCTCCTTTTTATTTTTTTTAATTATTTTATTTGTTTATATTTTTTGGGTTAATCTAAATTTCATGATTTTTAACATTTAGTACATGAAATTTTTTCAGCTCCCGAAGCAAAACCAGAAGCAGAGGTGGAAAAAGAGGAAGTGGAAGCAGACGAAGAGGAGGAGGAGCTTTGGACGTCGGACTGCGATGTCGGAGATGCGTTGGACTATTTGGACTCCAAGGACGAAGACAGAGGAGTAGAAGGCGGATTTACCATCAATTCACCAATTACCCACGGCGGCCTTCACTCCAGCCCTGCTTCCTCGACCCTTCAGCCTCTCGCTAATCGCAACCAGAAGTTCACTACCCACATCCGAGCTTCGCCTCTGGAGGAACAAATTTTGCAAATTTAACACTGAAATTTTAATTGGGTTTGTTCTTCTTGCTGTTGTAATTGTATGTAAGACTTAGAATTTAGGATTTCAATTGGGTGTAGGAGTGGGAAGGGAGGTCCACGTGGACAGGACCGTGAAATTCGGGTTGTTGGGGTTCCGCAGGCAGGCTGCCAGCCTGGCGCTATGGACGAATTCGTAGACGAGGAATGTATGGTCGGTGGAGATGAACGCGCCGAGGAGCTTGATAATGGAGGTGTGGTGGCTGCAGCAGAGGGTGGAGAGGCGGTTTTTGAGTTCGGCGGCGGAGAGCTTGACGCGGAACTTGGGCTGGAAAATAACGGCGTCTTTTTCGCGGAGTTTGCAGCGCCAGGAGGGGGTGGAGGTGGAAGGCTGTTCGAAGGAGGAGGAGGCGGCAGAAGTTGGGTGGGCATCATGTCATCGGTTAACAATCAGACTAACAGATGCAGCTGTCTCAAAAATAACATTTTAAGTATAACTATGGAACGAAAAAACTTCATGTACTAAATAGTGAAAATCACGAAACTTGAGGATAATAAATTGAAATTAACCTTTTTTTTTTTCCTTTCTTTTTTCTTGACCAACAATAGTATCTACGTAAAGGAGGGAAAGAATAGACTTGGCCTTACAATAAACAATCAATAGTGTAGTTCAAATTTGATTTAAATGAAAATCGAACCTAGTCCTTCTCACTTTATAAATAAAAAGAAATAATACTATATCGTAGTACTCCCACTTTTCTCTATTTGGACTTTGACCTTTGACATGCAAAAGTGATTTTTTTTTAAACAAATAATTATTATTTACAGAAGTGGTTGCTTCTACCTTAAGGTAGGGCAGGCCGCATCCCTAGCGAAGCTTCAAACCCCACAGCCTTACGTTCGTTTTCAAACACAACCAACAACAAAAGCAAACAAAATTACGAAGAAACAATTGTTTAACAAAGCAAGGTTTTATCTCGTTTGTCGTGGAATAAAAGAAAATAATTTTTTTAGTTTGACTGGAGAGTCGGAGGATCGGAGGACGGTGTTTGTTTGTGGATGATTTTGACGGCAAAGCACTGCGGCGGAAGAAGAGCCATGGACGGTATGGAAATGGCGGAGTCGACGTCGATGCCTCCTCTGACGGCAATCGTTGAGGCGTTTGAGGAGTTGGGCAAGTTCCTCCAATCCCATTCCCATAAGTCCCAACAAAAACAACAGCAAACGCTGCGTTTGGATACCTTCTGCCAGGCTTCCACTCTCGTCTCCATCCTCTTCAGCTGCCTTGGCCTCGCTTTCAAGTTCGCCGAGATGGAGTACATCTCCAAGGTTCTTTCTTCCTTCCCACCCCAAACTCAAACTCAAACCCTAATTCTCATTTTCTTTATTTTTCTCCAATGCAAGGACATGATGGTATCTCACGTATCTCCATGTTGTTTCTTATCTCCGTCATACAAGAATTCTTTCTGTTAATTGGATGTACCTTGGTTCCTGGGTCCGTGTCCATGCATCATAGTTTTTCTTGTATTTATTTGATTTTTTATTTTTTTATTTTTAGGATTTTGATTGTTAATTTTTATGAAATGTATTATTTTGTTTGTTGTTCATCGTCTATTCAGGTTGAAGATCTTGTGGAGGCGTCAAAGACTTACGACACATTAGAAAGTCTTCTGGATTTTGATGTTGCTAATGACACGGTAAAATCTCCGGGAAGCCATTCCCGTAATCTGCGCCGTGTCCGGCAGGGTCTCGACCTCGTCAGAGCTCTGTTCGAACAATTCTTGTCTACCGAGTATGTTCAAACCCCTTTATGTCTAATTTCATATGTTTGCAAACTGCAGCTATGTATCATTCTACAGATTTTTAGTTCTCGTTTTTGACATTTCTTCTTCCTTTTGCTTTCCAGTGATTACTCTTTAAGGGAAGCAGCTTCCACAGCTTATGCCAATGTTTGTGCGCCATACCACAGTTGGACAATCAGAACAGCGGTTGCTGCCGGAATGTATGCTCTTCCGTCAAGGGATCAACTTCTGGTGAATCTCGAAGAGACCCGTAAGTCTAAAAGCTTTTCTCCGTCCAGAAACACTGATCCCCTTCAGTTTTGCATGCTATTTATTTCTAAAATGCAATCAATTTCATTACAGATCAGTCAGCAGAGAAGAAGATGAAAAGGTACATCCAAGCCTCACGTCCAGTTATCGAGTACATCGACAGGCTATACCTTTCTAGGAACATCTCCTTGGACTGGTGACTTGAGTCTTCATCTATCACAGTAGATGTCTCCGTTAACAGCACAGGTCTTACAGAAAAACCTGTGCAGCGCTGGTTCGTTACGGTTACTTCTTCACTAAAATCGGTCTGTACATAAACGTTATTTACCGTGCTATAAGAGAATTATGTTTATAGGAGGCTATTATTTAGACTGCAATACCAGAAATTTATTAGTTACATCAATTTACTGCTAGAGATGTTGAATATAATAACACAGCCATGGGTTTTTACTTCCCACCCAAGCAATCCCTACTATTTCCCTGTTTCAAAATTTTCTCAACCGTGATTGGCAAAGCAATGCAAATTCTTAAAGGGAAGTGTTATTGGCACTCCAAAAATCTCATTCTACACTGTATTTTTCTTTCCTATTATAGAAAGTTTTGGATTGTAGAATGAGATTTTTGGAGTGTTAATAACAATTTCCTTCTCAAAAGTTCAAAACAAAATGAAGTGCAACACATGCAGAAAATGCTATAAATTATGCGAGAGCATGTTCCTTAATTGGGCACCCCGTTCAAAAGACACACCTGCGCTTTGTCACTGACGAAAAATATAGGCTTTTGGTCAAAAACATTCAATCCTTGGGAGTCCTGAAACACCGACTACAATGTGAGGCTCTCTGGGTTCTCAACAATCTTGGCAAATGTCTTAAGGAAGGCAGCCAAATCAGCACCATAAACAATCCGGTGGTCAGCTGTTACGTTCACCTGTAGAAAACAGCCACATTCCAACACAATTAAGTTACCTTTTCTACAAGTTTCTAGCCACAAGAGGAGCTATAATTTCCCCATTTTCAGGTACGCTGCAATTGTGTTCCAGTAACAAATTGATAAAAGCACAAAAAGAAAAAAATTCACATTGCAGAGGAACCTAGATGTTAAATCCAATCAATAATGTAACAAATTGATGTTTCTGGAAATAGACCAACTGCAGAAAGTTGATACACGTAAAGTTGTTTCTTTCCTTCCACACAGAGGCTCATACACAAAGTTGTTTCCTTCCTCCTCCGACAAGATGAATCGACATGCATAAAGAACTGCTAACAAGTAAAAAAAAATAAAAAAAAAGGTTCCTTAAGAACATTTCATATGCTCTTTTGCATTGTGTATAAGTTTGTTTAACATATTCATTCATTGTATAAGTGTGAAATTTAATTTATATCCTTGTAAAGTTTTCCAGCATATATGAGCAACGACATTAACAAACTACCATACATTATGGAGAAATCGCAAAGATACTCACGAGCATTTTACTTTTTACACTGAAGAATCCATCTGCATCGGCCACAACAGTTGGCTGTGAAGCTCCAACAGCCATGATAGCCCCCTGATTATCAATTCAAAACTTCAGCAAGCAGCTAAAAAATCATAAAAAACAGAACAATCCTGTTGTTGATTCATGAAAGCGAAAAATTCTCATCTTTAAGGGTTAAAACTCACCTGGCCTGGTGGAAGAATAGCATCAAACTTGTCCACTCCAAACATGCCCAAATTGGACAAGGTGAAAGTTCCTACACAGAGTCCAACACAACTCAATGAGTATAAACCGAAAGCAAGTAGATAAGAGAACATGGACTGACAGAGAGTTTGTAAACAAAGACCTGTACTGTACTCATGGGGCTGAAGTTGCTTGGAACGGGCCTTCTCCACTAACTCCTTCCATTTCTGGGACAGCAAATACAAATCCAACTGTGCAAACAAATACAAATCACCGATCACTAATCAGAACCCAAACAACTAAAAACAGAATTACTAAATGTCGAAGATAAAGGTTCCTCTGCTAATTGCACCAAGGCCTTTCGATAAAACCCCACACGAACTAAACAAGTGGTTAAGTTGGGGACAGTATTGGTGTTGGTTAGTAATGGTCCACTGACCGCTTCTGAAATCTAACACTGCATTACTTAGTAATTAAATATTCTTCGAAAGTAAGACCTTATCGGCATCCTGAAGAACAGGGGTTATGAGTCCTCCATTGATTGCCACAGCAACAGCAATGTTTATGCTGCTGTTATACAAAAAGCTCTTTCCGTCTTTGCAGCTCGCATTCACAACTGGGTGCTGAGCAAGTGCCATAGCAACAGCCTTGGCCAACAATGCAGTCATTGTCACACCCTTTGGTTTCACCTGTTAAACAATTTCAATGAATTCAAATCAAAATCCCAGAAATGCTAACACCAATCAAACCCAATTGACATTCCGAACCAACATTTTAATTAATCAAGCAGTATCCACAATGCACCTTTTCATAGAGGGCGTCGATGGCATCGCTGTTAATCGGGTACCCTACCCGGAAAATCGGCACGGAGAGGCTTTCCACCATGTTCTTCGAGACGGCGGCCTGCATTGTGGTAAATGGCACCACGGTTGACCCGGGAAGCAGTGGCGGGGGTGCAGCAGAAGGCTTGGGTGGAGCAGCGGCCACCGAAGTGGGCTCGGCGGCGACAGGTTTCGTGGGCATGACAATTCCGGCAGCCGCCTCCACGTCAGCAGGGGTAATTCGGCCAAATGGGCCGGTGCCCACCACGGAGGCAATGTCGACCTTGTGCTGCTTGGCTAGCTTTTTTGCGAAAGGAGTGGCCACGCCCTTTTTGGGAGTGTAAGTAGCAGTTGCAGATGGAGCAGGCTGGGCAATGGCAGGGGCGGGAGTGGCAGTAGCAGGAGGAGGAGTGGGCGTAACAGCAGCTTCAGCTGGGGAGGAAGAAGCGGCAAGACCAGACGAGGGGGATTTGGCTTTTTCCCTGGCCTCGGCGACTTCCTCTTCGGTCTCAGCGAGAAGCCCGATGGCGGCGCCGACGGGGGCGGTCTCGCCTTCCCCAACGACGATTGCCGCGAGAATGCCGTCGTAGAAGGTCTCGACGTCCATGTCGGCTTTGTCAGACTCGACTACAACGACGCTCTCGCCTTTGGAGAGGACGTCGCCCTCGGATTTGACCCAGGAGACGATCTTGCCCTCGGTCATGGTGGAGCTGAGGGCGGGCATGAAGATCTCCCTGATTTTGGAGTGGACGGTAAGGGTGCGGCGGCGGGGATTAGAGCGAAATGCGGTGGAGGAGGATGAGGAGAAGGGGGATGGGCGCCATGGGAGGGAGGTGGAGATGGAGGAGGAGAAGGAAATTGGGGTCTTGGAGAGGAAAGGAGACGACGCCATTGGAATGGAATGGGAGAAAGGCGAGAGAGAGTGAGTTGAATTGGGAGAGAAATGGAATGGAGTGGGGAGAGATGAAAAGGTTGATAGAACAGAGGGGGGCGGAGAAGACGAGGGAGAGTTGGTTGGAGGCTTTGAGCTACCCGCATCAAACTGGGGAGGTTTAAATTGTTTACATCGCCTTGGCCACTCCCACTCTTCCTTGTTAACAGGGATTTTTCAGTGTGATCAATACACGAAGTAGTATATCATATGTCATTATATAAATCGTGGGATTTGTGTGTCAAAAAGTTAATAACTTAAAAAATAAACTTTCCGCTACTTATATAAAAACACATGTTATACCACTCGTGTTCCCGTCACATTTAAAAATTTCTCTCTTGTTACCACTTATATTCCTGTCACAACTAAAAATTTCTCCTTGTTTAGGATTTTACTTTATTCATTTCCTATTCATTTCTGTTTGGAAAATGGCTGAAATATCAATTTATAAATTTCAATTGTTGAAATTTTTAGGGTTTGTTTAATATCTGGTTAATATTTGATTTATATGTCGTCTATAACTGATTGATCTTTACGTGTTTTTTTTTTATTGATATGTAGTCAACATTTGATGTTTTCTATGTTTGATGAACACATTGTCAATAATTAGTATAATGTATAAGATATATATGATCAACATTTGATCGATATGTTATTGATAGTCGGCTGCTATGCCACTACTATTTGTAAAATGATTATTTCAATCAATTTCCACACTTAGAGGGCGTTTGTTTGCTCTCACTAACTCTCATGGGATTGGACTGGACTAAAAGTTAGTCCAGTCCCATGTTTGGTACCCGCTAGGACTAACTTTAATGGCACTAACCTTCACTCGCCTCAACTAACCATGGGATTAGCCGGTCTTAGCGAAACCCCTCAAAAACTATGGGATTGCTAGTCCCGTTTTCAAAACTGTCTGCATGTTGTATGAAAGCTGCAAGTGTGCAAGCATGCTTCTGGCCAACTCCATTTGCCCTTCCATGCCCAGATCTGAAACCTAAACCCACTCACAACCTAAATCTCAAAATCCAACCACCAAAATCCCCCAAAAAAAAAAAAAAAACAGCTAACATCAACAATCTCAATAGAAATATTCTACCTTATTTTCGAAAATTCCCATAAAGGTTCCCTTTTCTCCATAAATTTCCGAAAGTAAATGGATAAAGAAGGGGAGAGAAATTAAGAGACAAAGAGGGAGGAGAAGGTAGCTTTGGGGACGATTTTGCAGGAAACTTGGTTTTGAAGCTTTTTGCAGGAAAAAGATGGGAGGAAAGGAAGTATTGGGGACGGAACCAAAGAGGAACAAAAGTAAAAAACTATCTAGAGAGAGGCAGAAGAGTGTGTTCACATTTTTAAGGAAAAAAAAGTTGAATGAATAATAAAATATTATTAGATATATATTAAATAATATAATATTATAATTTGTTATTTTATCCAGTTTTTTAGTCCGACATTACATCAAACGCTTCACTAAGTTAGTCAAGTTTAGTTTAGTCTAAGCCAGTCCAGCTTAGTCCCTACAACTAGACGAGTTCAAGATAGTCCGGTGTAACAAACACATCCTAAAATCCTAGCTACATAATTATGTTCATATTTTATTTATACAATAATATTGGAGATGGTTTATGAGTTAAATCAAAGGAAAACTAATGAAAATGACTTGAAAACTTTGAGTTTTAACAATAAGAATAAAATAAAGGGTAAAGTGAATAGTACCAGGATTGACATTTTAGTGTAAAAATGTGGTTTTTCGTTAAAATGAACAGTATTGTGAGCTTTTCGTTAAAGTTCCTTAAATCAATGGTGAACTATTACGTATAGGTTTTGTCATTGGGGTGAATCGAACTTGATACCAAACAATTATAATTAAACATGAATAATACTATACCATAGTGTTAGTAATACGTGCATGTTTAAATAGTCATTGTGACCACAAATTATTGTTGATATATACGAGAAATGTTACAGAGGTTCTCTAAAAAATAAACTCTCTGCCACTTCATGTTTTCAGCACAATCCTCGTGCCAATATTATGAAACATTGTGTCAAAAAAATGAAGTGGCGAAGAGTCATACTTTGAGAGAGTCTCATTAGCATTTATTTATATTTACACATTTTGACCACTAAAGAGTATGATTTGGTCTAAACTTCTCTTCTTAATAGTTTTTATTATCACATTTTAACCCTTTTGTTTTTCTAACAAATCAACATTAAACTACTCCAATTTATGAGTACTTCAACTCAAATGCAAGTGAAGGAGCACATCGTGTTTTAACCAGTAATTATCTGTTAGCATGGGCGCATTTTTGCTTAGCAGTCTTAAGTGATTGTAACGCTCATTACCATGTTTATCATCATTAGATAAGTTTAATTTTAAGTTTTGTATTTGTCCACTACACAGTTCTTAAAATTTAAATTTATCTAACGGTAATAAATGAAGTGATGAATATCATCTTTATTTGAAGTTAGCGAGTAAAAATATTTCCATTTAGTACAGAGTGGAGGTACATTCCACGCTTTTACAAAAAATTAAGAAAATGTGAAGAATATCAAGAGTAAATCGACTTTGGGTCGAAGATTGCTGGTTTTTAATAACTTTGAGCCGAAGCCAGGCAGGAATTGATGGGAACTCAAATTGAGTGCGGGTTTTATTTTACAAAGCCCATGATCTTGAGACTTGAAGCTTTAATATGACCCAACTTTACGTGCCTTCAATCTTGGGCCCTGCGGGTTCATATGAAGCTCATAACAGCTCATAGAAGTGGGCCTGTATTTGGGAGATCCTAACGAATACCGACACGAGATGACAAGATATTCTCATGAGGTGCACTAATAGACGAATCCGAATACTTGCCGGATTTCTTTTTACGAAAATTTTGGGATTCGTGAATTGTGTCTGTTTATCGTATATTGTATAATCAAAAATTATTTTAAATTATTTTATTTAAAATTAAATACAAACAATACATGATAAAAATTGACTATAATAAACAGATAAAATTTACGAATCTTCATAATTCCTACCAAAATAATTCAACCCCGTCCCAAATCATCATGACGTAGAGCTGGTTAACCCCATCACTGTTATTAATAAACATTATTATCATTTCATTATATAAAGTTTTCCATTGTATTTTCCAAGAAAATGTAACACTCAATCATGCGTTAAAATAAATAAAGAAATAAAATAAAATAAAGAAGCACGGCCGAGTAGTAGACATGTTTATGAGTGGGGCGGGGTTGTAGGTCGGGCTCGATTTTTTTAACTTAAAGAAGATTCTCTCAAAATTAATATTTTTTATAAATTATTTATCATCTCACAGGAAAGTCAATTTTTGTATAAATATCATAACAAAATATTAGGTGATATAGAATTTTTGAAGAGTCTTAATCTTGTAAGATTATAATTCTAAACCGAATAACTAGGGTTGGGTATAAAAACCACCAAATGAAAACCGAATCAAACCGTGACAAAAAAAACAGCGTTGACCAAAAAGGTCAAAACCGGAACAAAAATCGAACCGAACCGTTTCAAACAGTTCTGATTTCAGTTTGGAAATATTAAGAACCGGCGGAACCAGACGGAACCGCTTTTAATATCAATTATTGTTTTATTATTATTTTTATATAAATAAAACATTTTTCAAAAAGACCATGTGCATAAGCCCAATATTTTTCTACACTTCTCCCCCCCGCTCCTTTGTTGTTTTATTACTTTTCACCCCCTACTATTATTTTTCTTCATTATTTTCCAGTATATTTTAGTTTTAGTTTAAGATCTACATTTTGGTCTTGATATGAGCTTTTCTATTTTTTTATTTATATTTATATGCACATTTTCTATATTCCGGTCACAAATCTTGCAGATCTAGTAGTGGAAACTCAAATTTACTTGAATTTGTGGTTGAAATATGTGTTTGGTATTAGAAGTAGAAAATTAGAAAAAAAAATATATATAATTTTGGTTAGAACTGTAAACCGTCATGAACCGAACCATACAGTTTTAGTAATAAATTTAAACGAAATCACACGAAACTGAACCGTTGGAATTTTCTAGTTCCAATTCCATTTTGAGGATGAAATCATGTGACATCCCACATCGCCCAGGGAAGTGATCCTTAAATGTATATTCCCATCCTACCTAGCACGAGGCCTTTTGGGAGCTCACTGGCTTTGGGTTCCGTAGGAACTCCAAAGTTAAGCGAGTAGCGCGCGAGAGCAATCCCAGGATAGGTGACCCATCGGGAAGTTCTCGTGTGAGTTCCCAGAAACAAAACCGTGAGGGAATGGTAAGCCCAAAGCGGACAATATCGTGCTACGGTGGTGGAGCGGGCCCGGGAAGTGGTCCCACCCGGGCCGGGATGTGACATTGGTATCAGAGCCTATCCCTGGCCGGAAATGTGCCGACGAGGACGTCGGGCCCCTAAGGGGGGTGGATTGTGACATCCCACATCGCCCAGGGAAGTGATCCTTAAATGTATATTCCCATCCTACCTAGTACAAGGCCTTTTGGGAGCTCACTGGCTTTGGGTTCCGTAGGAACTCCAAAGTTAAGCGAGTAGCGCGCGAGAGCAATCCCAGGATGGGTGACCCATCGGAGTTCTCGTGTGAGTTCCCAGAAACAAAACCGTGAGGGAATGGTAAGCCCAAAGCGGACAATATCGTGCTACGGTGGTGGAGCGGGCCCGGAAAGTGGTCCCACCCGGGCCGGGATGTGACAAATCAAGCTAAACCGGACCGTGCACTCCCCCGGATTAACCTTTTTGGTTGGAGATCATTTTTTAACTTTTCTCTTGGCCCTCCTTATATTCCCCGAAATTTGGCGCCAATTCATGGCCCTACCAATCTAATCATGACAATAGAAGGTTTGCATCTTAAGGAGGCAACGGCTCAGATTCGCTCTTGCTTGAATAGAAAGTAAAATATCCCGCATACTTCCCCCGCCTTATGGATGCAGACCAAATTTTAAAGGGCCGGCTTAGCTGTATTTTGGAGCTATTCCCGATGGCCCTACCTCGCCCATTTGCTTTTGTGCTCATCCTTATCTGAATTTTTTAATATTTATTTGATTTGTTGACTTTATATTATTTTCTTTAAAGAGGGTGCACGATAGAGTGCTTCGCAACTGC